CTATTTATAGTCACGGTGACCTGTCGTGTCGGGACGTATCGGCACACTTCGTGGCGCGAACGTCAAGAAGCGCGCGCTGGCCAATCATGTGGCTGCATCGTGGTAGCGGACCGGATGGCGGCTCTAGACTGAGATTCCAGATGGGAGACAAGTAGTATCCTTCCTCTCGATTGATATTATGTGGATTTTTTCGGATCTCTAGAGATTCGCGGATTTTCCTGGAATAAAAGAAGGGGCTCTTAGAAATAATATGGGTTTTTTTCGAACAATATGGAATGACCGGTTTCTTGGCAGTGTTCTGCAACTGCAGAATGGGAGAAAAGACCTGATCTTTCTGCAACCATGAATGACAGAAACCCCTGAAATTAGTATTTCCACCACCAGAGAAAAAACCCAGTACCTTATGCTCGATTACATATACAGCCAAAATAACAAAAAAAAAATTGCCAAACACACAAAAAAGAAAGGAATAACACCAGCTTTCCAAACAAATAACAACCTAGGCAAATATATTAAAAATAACAAGAGCCAAAATAAAAAACACATAAATAGTGGTGTGTACAAACTTCAATGTGGCGACTGCCCAAAAACTTACATCGGTCAAACTGGTAGAAACTTTGATAAACGAATAGCAGAACATAAAAGGGCTTCCAAGAATAGAAAAACAGATTCGACATACGCACTTCACCTTCTAGATCATAATCATTCTTTTAATGACAAATTTAAAATTCTTCACATTCAAAATAAAGGCCTTAAGCTATCTTAAGCTACGGTTTGGTCAACATCCTACTTTTGGGTTTTAGTTGGTCTCGATCTATATATTTTTCTTAATTTAGTATGATAAGAGGTGCTTCTTTGTTTTTCCACTTTTTGCTATCCGCGTCTTTTGTCCTACACATCATTGCATATTTGGGAACTGTTGAAGTTTCTCTTTTGAAAGTATGATTTAATATATAATTTTTTAATATAAATAAACATGAATAATGTACTTTATGCATTATTTAATGATATATTTGTTGATCAGTTCTTATATTTTTACGCCTAGTTATGTCGTTTCAGTATAACTAACTTTAGTAAATCTTGAGTGTGTTATATCGTTTGCCAAAATTTTTCGAATAATTTTTCTACCCAAATTTTCATATTATATCCTCTTTAAATATGTTCATGTACTTCCTCAAATACCTTACACAAAGTATTTACTTTAATAAGACATATTTGTGGTAGAGAAGGGTCCTTTTTGTAATTTTAGCTTTGTAAATAAATACTTGCGTCTGTTTGCAAATAAATGAATTGACTTTCCTGTCTGAAATTACGCACATCAAAGAAAATGACTATATCACTACAAGCTAACACGCTACTCTAGAAATTATTTCTGCAAAATTAGAAATAGGCTTATAGCGTATATATATATATATATATATATATATATATATATATATTGAAATGATTTCAATATGTTAAAAAATATACAACTTAAATGGATTTTTATATGAGTTTGTTGTTTATGAATTTCATGAAGCCATCACAATGTGGGTTCGACTCTGAAATAAAAGAGAGAAAAAGATTAGTAAATTGTTAAATAAATTAATTTTGACTTACCTGGTATAGTGTTAATAATTTCTGAATAGTATAGTTGCCTAGTGTATAGGTGAATCGTCTAAACCTTAAAAAGAACAAAAAAGAAGAATTTAAAAAAATTATTTAAACATGGAAATTTTAATAAACGTCAGAAAATAAACTGCTTGATAGTTTATTTGACAGTCTGTGGGAGCTAAATTAATACGGGTTTTGTTAAATAAGAAATTACAATGATGTGGAGATGAAAAGAATAAATTAGTATTGTAATAGAATAAGTTTTATATCTAAACATTTTTTTTTATAAATTCCCAAATTAGATGTGATTAAAGTGATTATGAGAAAGTAATGTGGCTTGACAAATATGTCAAACAGGACAGTTTTATGGTTTAAAATATTTAAATAGAAGACAAAAAAAAAAGAACGTTGGTTGCTGTTCGCAACGGAGAATGAGAGGAATTGGTTTTTTTGGAGAAGACGCCGACGAGAATTTTTGGAGAGGAGCTCCGAAAACTGTGGATAGTCCGAGAGTGTTTTCAAATCGTTTGATAAAAATATAGTTTTTTCCACAGCAGAGATACTCAGAATTTGTTTCAGTGAGTAAGAGAAACCATTTGACTTATAAATTATTATTGAAGTGTAGAAATGTCATTTAAATTAAGAAAATTAAAAATCATGAATTAACATAATTGCGATAGGCCTTAAAAATTGAAAATATTAATGATCATTATATTAAAAATAAAATAGTACGTACCTTAACTTCCGAAGAGAGGATTGATATTCCATTTTTCACCGATTATTTTTGAGTAGTTAGTTTCCTTTAAAGAAATCAGAACTGTTTTAAAGTGAGGTTGGACAATAATTTTGGGGATCATTTGAAATGTTGATTATATTTGAGTGGAAGTCAGCGGAGTAAAGTGTTCATTTTTTTTTTCTTTATAGTTCATTTAAACACTTTATAAAGTTGCAATATTTATTTAGTTTTTAGGTACTTGTAGAGAGTCTCCACATTTTGTAATACATTTTTATTGTCACGTCACTAAACCACGTTAAGATTTAAACGATTCCTATTTTTGTAAATTTTTAAAGGCAACCCAAGTTGCAGACGAATTTTATTGTTTATATTAAATTTGTTCAATATTAATAAATAACGTGCTTCATTTCGGTTAATTTATTAAAAGTCTAAAGTAAATTTTTGTTTAATTTCTTTTTGAACTCTACCAGGAGACTACAGAGTCGACGTCACACAGTGACAGATTGCTTAGAACATATATACACAAATATATATATATATATATATATATATATATATATATAATATATATATATATATAAATATATATGTGCAGTCGTCCCTAAAATAAAACTTTCGGTATGATTTATTAAATCGAAAGTACCATTTTACACAACTCGTACTGAAAGTAGCTACTTTCGGAAATCATTTTTTTCACTTTCAGGAGGATTTTGGGTAGCTAGACAACGGCATTAACAATAACATTAACTTTGTATAATATTATGACAAGCTTGTCATTTAAGATTCGTGTGTTTTTGCTCAGTTTCTCCTATAATAGTACTATTAAATTGAACCATAATGACAAATTTGCCACACATTTTGACTATATAAACACTGTAGTTACCCTATCACATTTATTCGCTGTTTGATTTTTAAGAAAAAGGTCAAAATGTCATCCCAGACCAAACAAACTAAATTATTGGACGAAAAGCGTTTTGCATTTATTTTTACCATAAAATCGATAAACCTAGTCACGAAATAGCATCCGCAGTAAACTGTACTCAATCTAAACTATTTAGAGTCATCGAGAAGTATGCTGAACAAGGAAAAATCGACGACAGACCGCGTAGTGGTCGACCAAAAAAAAAAACTGTTCGGGATGACGCTGCGTTAAGAAGAAGAAGTCTGGCAGACAGAAGCCTAAATTCCACTTAATTGACGAAGCTGAGGTCTGAATCTACAGTTGTACGCGTGTGCACTTCCACTGTGAGAAAAAGACTGCTCAGTTTTGGACTGTGCTCAGACAGAAGATGTAAGGCACGGAAGAAACAGCAGAATCAGTAGAAAGAGCAACATCGAATCTGAACAGCAGAACAGTGGCAGAGTGTACTGTTTAGTAATGAATAGTGAAGAGTTTTCTTCAAAATGTGTTCTTCTCACAATTAAACATCCAACGTCCGTTATGATATGGGGTTGCATGTCCGCTCGAGTAGTTGGTTGCTTACACTTGTCTCTAGTATGATGGAATGCTACCAAATACATTCAGGTACTGCAGAATAAGATGCTGCGTAGTGGAAAAGACCTGTTTGGCGAAAAAAAATTTATTTTTCAGGATGATAATGCTCCTTGCCATAGAGCAAAATTGGTTAAAGCTTGGATGGAGAGTAATGCAATTGAAAGGATGGACTAGCTAGCGAAATCCCCGGATCTTAATTTCATCGAGAATTTATGTAAAGGATATCAAACATCATTTCCAAAAGCAAAACCACAAATAAAACGAAATTAATCGAATCTCTAATCCACGCTTGGCATCGCTGTATTTTCATGGAGGAAACTGCAATAATTAATAAATTCCATGCCCAAAATATGTAAACTAGTTATTTAAAACAAGGGCTGGCCAATTACATATTAAAATTAGTTTAAATTACGTCAATGTGATGTAAATAGCCTCATTTTTGTAATATTGAATAAAACATTTCCGAACTACATTTTTTTATTAATCAAAATTTTTGCTGTGTTTCCATTTTCCATTAAATGTTTCCAAATATTGCCTTAAACTTCTTAAATAAATGCCTTAAACTTCTATTTTTATGTGTTTGGTATGGCGATGCAGGACTTTTTAACACCACTGTATCTTTTAACTAAATAACCGTAAAGTTCGCTTAAAAAGATTCTATTTATTACTTAGTGTATATGCAAAATTAGGTATATATAATCCTTATTTACGTTTTACATTAAAGGGATCAAGATAAATTTCTGCATAGATAAAACGGCCCCTAGCAGATTCAAGCTTCTCTCGAACGAAAACGGAAGTAAAAAATGTCGATAGCGTAATTTGTAAACCTGATGGTACGTTTTTTTTTAAGGCGGAGAAGTATAATGAATTCTCTGGAGTTGACTCGACGCGACGCGATGGTTTGGATATCCCATACAGTATAACTTTCAACATAAAGCTGCTAGCTTTGTGTATTTATCATACAAAGATTGTACTATAACTAAATATATTATTTATTATTATTAAAACGAATTATTTATTTCAAGTTTATCTCTTATAAATAAATTTTATAAATAAAAATACCTTCAGTCTTCCTTTATTTCACTTTATTGATTTGGTTTGTTATTATTTTTCCAATTTATTCATAATTCAAACATTGTTAGTAAATATAAAACTACTTAACTATGGAAAGGAAAAATGGAAATAGAACAGGAACGAAGGATAACTAGAAATACCAAAGAACTGAGAGTAAAGGATAGATTGGAATATAAAGTAACGAGCATGGCAATGTATAAGGAAAAAGTACAAGAAATTATAATGGACAGAAAAGAAAAGTAAAAAAACAAGAAAGCAATAACAAGAAGAATAGAAAAGAAACATGGAAGTTGGAAACCTGGAATATTAAAAGTGTACAAGGTAAACAAAAGGAATTGTAGATGGAGTTTAAAGAAACAGGGCTAGATATACTGACAATAACTGAAACTAAGACAAAGGTCAAGGAATCGTCTTCTTCTTCTTCCTCCTTATAAACAATTCTGCTTGTTCATTGGTAGATTCATACATCTATGAAAGGTTGTCACTTTGTCTTTTGCGCGGTCGTCCGATATTCTTCTGACGATTGTTGACTTATCTCCTGCTATTTTGACAACACAGGTCTCCTCCATTCTGCTTATATGGTTATTCTATTCTTTTTTATATTTAGTGTCCATTCATTTAAACACCTCTTGTATTGTAGCTGTCTAGGGTCTTGTTTTTTAGGCATACGTTATTATTGGTCTTACACAGGATTTATAAATTCATGACGTCATCTCAGTGTTAACGTGTGTATTTTGCCATATAGTGTTATTAAGGCATTCTGCCAATCTATTGACTTTTTGTACTTCATCTCTCACT